ATTTCCTCTGATTTGGGCCTTGTCTGGACAAGAATCACGTAGCAGCTTCTTCTGATATGTCACAGTCAAGAACTATGCAGATGTCTCAGAGCTCTCGCTAATAAATGGCTCGCTCTCTTCAAATTATTGTCCACGAAACAAACACAACCGATTCGATATGGTTTCTGTTCTTCCAATGGGAATTTGATGATCATGCTCATAATGGCAGTTTTCGTCATGAAGGACGTTAACGTACGTAGGTGCAAGACTCTCATCTGGAAGATTGTTCTTGTGAAGCCGGCCTCATATCAACCGTATAAGCTATGGATCCTGACGCAAAGTGACGATGGGGGACACTATGATGGGCAAAGACCGACTTTTCTGATGTAATTTGCCTTCAGAATCACTTCTGCCAGAAGTGAACCGCTTCTGAGCAGGAGCGCTCTAGATCTCAACTCAGCTTCATGAACGCACATATGTCTGTCCCCTGTCTCTTCTGCATGGCAATATTGGGGCTGATGCTTTTGTACTTGTGTTGGCGGGATTCGGCACGACAGAGATCTGACGCCTATTATTTAGTTGCATATACATAAGGCTTCAAAGCTTTAGTCTGTAGCTTATATGAGCAGCCAATGCACCATAGAGTTCTCCCATACATAGAGGCGTCTTGAGATCTTGCGCTTATGGTTTCTGTTATGAGGCGGGATTAGACTGCGAAATCGAGTGCGATGCCATTCAATGATTCAATTTTTGTTACGTATGAGGAGGAAATACTAAGACAACGGGACATCACCTAAGACCTTTGCTCGAATCATGCGCCTTGGAATGACTGTCGAGAAGATGACCAGAATAAGCTTGAAATTCTGCGACTAGAAGCTACGGAAATGGGCATCTCTGTCTCGGCAAATCCCAGGATCTGCCAACAACAGGCTCTTCATATAATGGGCTCAGCTTCTTCACTTTCTGAGTGCGTGAGAAATGCTGAATCGGAAATCTTAGCGGTGCTACAAAAACACAGCTTCTTCAGGGCAAACGTGCCTCGCCCTACGAATCGCTTGTCTTTCCAGAGGGCTTGTCACAAAAGCATATCAAGGTCTAAATGCCCACTATGGGACATAATAATCATTAGGTAGAGTTGGACAGAGGCTGTGAACACTCGACGAAGAGTGGCCGTTGATAACCTTGCCTGAGTCTCTGAGATACCTTTAGCCCATCTAGGCCTTGTAAGAAACTGCCTGCGGGATCGAAACCTGGAAGGCAAACGCACAAATTGCCTTGGTTACACCTCCGGTCAGGACCCAGAAAGTTTGCCTTTGGATGATTTCTTCTGGTAGGTTGTGAGAGAACCACATAAGCTGACTCGTTGAAGTGCGAAGCTCAATCGCAAAATATAATGACAGGAAAGATTCCTCAAAGCTCTTGTATTAAGGCAGTTTAAACAGAACATGTTCTCTCGCTAAACTGAGAGGAGTCTTGTTACATAGGTATGAACGAATCGGGTCGGGTGCTTGCATTTGTCTCGTGGCCGACAAGGGGGCCCGCACCTAGAAGATGCGATATCTTGAGGGCAACTGCTGTGATTCGCTCAAGGTGCGGTTGAATCTGATATAGACGTCAGGTAGACCAAAGGTTCATAGATGCCATTGCTGCTCTTGCTGTCGGTTCCCCAGTGACAACTTGGTCACCTCTGGTGCGTACGTGGCTGAACACGTCAATTTCTGAGCCTAAAAATCCTAGCTTTCTTAGGATTCGGACCAGGGCCTGGGTTTCCATTCGAACATTTTCGACTTCGTCTCCTCCTATCCCTGCACTTTCCCTTGTCGCCCTTGATATTTCTGGCCAGGTCCTTCTCGCCTCGAATTTGAGAAGCGTTCAATGGTAAGATATAGTTTTGTGCTGAAATCCTCAGTCAGACGTGCCCTTTGCTGAATAAATTTAGCTCACTGCGTTTCTCGCCCAATGAGTTCAAAAGGCTTTCTTCCGTGTCTAATGGTCATTTTTTAGAAATCAAATGATTTAGATCTGAAGCCTCACTTTAAGAACTATGTCCAACACGCTTAGCCGACTCAAATTGACAGCGCCCACCCTAAGGCAATTAATTAAGTTTGAGGCCCATAATTAACTTGATTGCCACATCGCGATGCTATACTTGATTGATTGCCAATTAATTGCAATTAATTAGCAAATATCCCCACATATAGGTGAGGGGGCTAGAGAGGGGCCCTCTAGAGGGGAGGGCTCTAGAGGGGAGGGCTCTAGAGGGGAGGGCTCTAGAGGGGAGGGCTCTAGAGGGGAGGGCTCTAGAGGGTAGGGTCCGGAAGGGGGGCTGAAAGGGGGGCCCCGGAGCCGGATTTTCGGGGCCGAGAGTCGGGCTGGATTAACGATTTTCCGGACTTTTCTGGGTCCCTTAGCCCCTTAAGCCCCCCCTTAAGCCCCCCCCAAGGCCCCCCTATAAGGTCCTATAAGCCCTTGTAGCCCTCCCCCTCCCCCCCTGTTAAAAGAGTCAAGGCAATCAATCAAGTTTAAGCCTTAAACTTGACTTGATTGACTAGCGATGGCTTCATAATTGATTGATTGATTGATTGAACTTGACAAGTTTACTTGCCTTGCGGGGAGCGCTGCAAATTGACACAGCTAGAGCAGAGCAAGCTAGGCCTTTGCTCATGCGGCTGCCCCCGAGGTGCTGAGCGACTTTCTTGGCGGTGTCAGTAAGTATTCGTCATCACATACTGAAGTGAAGACAGAGCTTGAGAGCTGGAGCAAGGGCAATTGCCAGCCGACTGCTTTCTCGGGGCGCATTTACAGGGTCATCAAATCAGTTGACTGGGCGCTTGGGCTATGGCGCATCTATGACCTTAGAACTCGACAGACCGAGAGCATTCTGGAGAGCTCAACTTCCAGTCGAACGAGGGCTGCTTTTATCAACAAAGTGCTCAACTATGGCACAAACAAACCCAACGCGTCAAACAAATTTAACTAGTCTCTGTTCCCTCTCTAATGCAATCCCACCGAGTACCAAATTCAGTGCAGTGTTGATACTAGCGGAAAAACATGGACTCAGGCAAAATAAAGAAGCTGAAATGAACCAGAACTTTCCCCATGGCTGATACGCTATACACTGCTAGCGTTTTGACTTTGATGTATTCTTGCGTAAATACACACCCAGTGAAGAGGAGAAACGAGAGTAATGGAAAATCTCGTCCGTCAGTGTGATTCAAGTTCGTAGCTATGATACCGCGGGACACTATATTTGCGTGACGACGGTATTGTTCATCGCCAATGTAAATGGTGAAAGATTGGTGTTCTTGCTTATTGAGTCCAGCTGCTGCAAGTAGCCGCGATTTATAGGACCCCAAGACTAGGTGTGCGCAGCTGCAGGTAAGAGTGAAGATAAGGGCAGGAATAAAGTGGCTTGGTCTATAAATTTCAATCGACGGGCTGTTCAAGTGTGACTTTCCCAAATGATCAGGTGGGCTGCGACATTTCAATTGAACTCGGAAATTATCAGATGGGGCAGCCCAAAGCATTCTTCTCAAGGGCCTTCAAGAAGTGAGAGAGTGTAGTGCCGCTGAAACACCGGGCTTGCGTGTATACATTTCTCAACCACGGGTGAAGATGATCAACAGAGTGATCCGGGATATGAATGAAGGCAGATTGCCGCTTTTTCAGCCTCTGTGCCCAGTCCTCTAGAAAGCCTTGACCGGCTGTAGCGGTTGAGATACTACCTTCACTTCTGATGAACGCACAAAGCCCCGAACGAACTTATTTCTGCCGGATTTCAGGGGCAATGCAATGATAAGAACCATTAAATACTACTTACCAGCAACACAGAAGCATCCTCTTGAAAAGTCATTCAAGACAGCCTTTCTTCTTAATTTCGATGTATCGAGTGAATCAAACTTGGGCCTAATTTCGTTGCTATCCTAGAAGCTCTTGGTGTGGCAAGCTACGATGCTGGGCACTGAATTAGGTTGTCCTTGAGAAGTCGATACCCACAGTTGAGCTCGTCTTTGAGAAACTCTTCGTCGCCGGTTTCTATACATACCGCTACGAACACACGGACAACAGAACTGACGTAAAACCACAAACTTATGAAATCGACTGAGCTGATCAGACACTGACGATATCTTCATGGCCTAGGGAGAGGGCCGTAGCATGCAATCATAGGTCTCGCTACCAAAAGAAAACCGTTCATTTCGATTGAAGAAGAAAAGAACTTAAAACATGTCAAAAATCGTATTTTATATGCGAGAGGAAACACAACAGGAATTTGCCTCGCCATAGAAGTCTTGGTATAAATGGCTCCTTGTCAGTTGACCCTTCAGCTGCCGAGACAAGACAATCCATTACCAACTCGTTGTTGTGTCTAATCACTCGGGCAGTGTCTTAGCAAGCCTTCATCACACCTTAGCGTCACCTAGAAAATATCTGCAAATTCAACGTCGATTCTCTAGGTGCCGCCTCTGGACACATCACTTTGAATACACTCCCAGCGACAGAGATAAACTAGACCAACGACGCGGTGGTACATGTGTCCGTGGTGAAGCACGGAACCCCCTATGCTGTCGGGCTTCATGTGAGCCGCCTTGAGTGTTTGTATTACCAAGTACCGATTCAAGCTCACACATTTGTTCCCGTATCAATAGTCAAGGGCATGATTAAATACAAAGGGGGATAGCAGGCGATTATCGTTGACATCAGTCCGATGATGAAAGATCTGCGAGGTTGAATTTTGATGATCTAACGCGGTGGCTCGTAGAAGATAGAGATGTTGATTTCCCGCTAAGACTTTCACGAGATGAGACATTAAATGGAGGCTTTGCATATCTCTTCGTTGAGCAGCAAATACATCTTTGAGTAAAAGAAATACTTTCGTCTATCATGGATGGTTGTGAGCGAGGTCCAGAGTTGGGCCAAAAGCAACGATATTGACCCTGATCCTCGCCGTCGCCATAGCCATACTCTCATCATCTCGTTCCTGTCTGCATAACATCATCTATGTCTTCAAGGGACGTCTAGTCTCACTCCTTGAACATGATAGAACCCCCGTCCCAGTCCGCCAGCCGCCCAACGTTCGCCCGCCCCTTCACCTCAAAACCCAACCTCTCGTAAAACGGCTCCACGCCCTTAAGACCAATAAGCCACGCCGGCACGCCCTCCTCGTCAACGCGGCGCAGACTGTGCCTGACGAGAAGCGACCCGTAGCCCTTGCCCTGACACTCGGGCAGAACGCCCAGCGTCGATAGATACCATGCCGTCTTCCGCTTGGGGTGCTCCGGGTCATTGATCAAGGGGTCACTGGCGATGTGCGAGTCGTCAAAGGCATCGATCATGTCCAAATTCCTCGACTTTGGAGGCCACAGATAACCCGCCAAGGAGTTGATGCCGAGAAGCACGGGCTTGAGCCAGCCGCGGACGGTGAACCAGCCCTCGTGGGCGGATTTCTCGGCTTCGGTGGGGTACGGCCGGCGCCACCACGCAAAGGCGACGACCCGCTCGCCGGACGACGATGCGGCGTCGGGAACTGTGAGGACATAGAACAGCTGCTGCTCGGGGCCCCAGTAGCGAGCGTAGAAGAAGCGGTGCGCCCATGCTCGAAAGTCTTCTGGGTGTTCTTTCCTGTGAGGGTGCATCTTGTTGAAGATCCAATCATCGGCGAAGGCGGCCCTGAAGATCTCGGCGGCGGCTGCCACATCGGCGGAAGTGCCTTCTCGGATCCGGAATTCCGGCTCGGTCATGATTGCGATTTGCGGCGTAGATCTGGATTGGTGTAGGATGGTGACTGATTGCCAGCGGCGAGATGCAAGAAATAGATCAGAGATTGAGGCGGAATTACCGATGATGCGAGTGAACTAAGGCAAGCTCCAAGACGGCGTCCTCGGCTTGCGGATGGTGGAGAAGGTTGGTTTGCGTGCAATTGGCCAATGAGGTAATCCAAATCCACTTGCCCGCAATGGCATCATTCAGATGTTGATTGACTTGATAGGTGAGCTAGAGGCAAGGATTGCGTTCCTTCGTCGAATCAGAAGCTGAAGGATGTGTATTTAGCGGTATCATCGCGTCTGTACGGTGAAAGGACTGTGCAGGTCAATTTAAGGGCGGATGAACATCCTTGGCTTGTCGAGTTCAGGGCGGATGACTCAACCGGCAAGGCGCAACGCGGGGAACTGCTTCTCCAAAAGTTCCCCCAAAGTCCCATTTTGGCGCGCCGCAGACTGCATCACAACGGGCCCGGCCCGGACACGGAAGGCGGCAGTTGCTTCTTATCTCGCGATACAATCAATTTACTCTGTGCCTCGGTCAAGGTCGTAGCGGAGAAAGAGTCGTTTTGGGGGAAGATAACCGGTTGAGGGTTCCCACGATGCCAAGTCTGGGGACGGCTTCGGCTTGCCGAGCCGGAGATTTCAAACTTCGTCCCGAAGCCGATGCCGGTGGGTTGAAACACGGCCGCCGGCCAGTCATCTCGGCCAACCGCCGGCCGACATTCTCCAATAACCACTTTGGCCCCCAAATCCTCCCGGCACCAACACAGAGTATGGTTGGGCAGAATTTCAACCTGTCAACATGTGATTCATATGACTGCTATCCACCTCGAGCCGACCTGAACCTTGCTCGTGAGCTGTTTCCCCACGACGGAAAGACGGGACGGATGGCGAAGGTTGCACAGACTGGCGGCTCCGGATTCTTGGGACGCGTGATCTGCTTGGTCTTCGGGATTTGGTGGAACACCGCTACTTTGAGCGTGGCGGAATAGGCGCAAGAACAAGAGGCAGTATCAACGGCGGCGGTGTGGCGGTTTGTCAGATATCGAGCTGGTTGCGGAGAGGGAGCTGCCGTAGATGCTGTGGAACGTCGGTTGGAAGCGGCTGGTGGTCGAGGATGAAGCCATTTTCACCCTGGAACGTCAGCCCTACAGAAGGGGCAGCAGAGCCAAGAATAAGGTGTAGGGGTGCCTCTGGGCTGACAGCTGCAAGTCGTCTTCCTATGCGGGCCGGATTCGGGGGGGATGTGTGCCGTCATTGGCTCGAGGGGTCGGAAATGGAAGGTTGAAGGAAGGCCTTCTCCCCCCAGAATAAACGGGTGGTAAGACGTGCATGGCGCTATTCCTTGTGTCTGCAGCTGGCTTGATGTTACGCCGAGACACACAGCAAAGAAGGATGCGTTGAGGACGTGGGTTTGGTTTATTTTGGATGCAATCGGTGATATCAGTCGCCTCATTCGGAAACGCAGTCGTGGTGTGGTGGTATCCAGCGGGCAGACAAAAGGTGTGCAAACGACATGTGCCAGGGATGTTGAGTGTTGCGGCGATGGGCCTAGGACGGATGCGGGACGAACGGTGGTCTTGCCCGTGGAGGGGAGCTGCTGACTAACTCATATCGATTGATCATTGGGCAGGAAAGAGGGCCCAAGCGCGTGTCAATACGCGTCCCCGCAGGCAAGACATTTGGCGTCGCTGAAGAAGCATTTGAGCATGTTCTATTCTTTCATCTGGAATCCGCCTTTGACGATCTGGCAGCAAGGAAGATTCGAAATCCGAGGTCCTGGATCGGCCTAGCCTCTGTTGGAATGCGCGCCGTGTCTGAGGAGGCGATATTGGCCGCAATCGGCTCCATCGAGCTCTGGGCGCAACATTAGCCATGTGGACAGGCGAATCGTCATTATCGAGGATGGAGTGCAATGAGATGATGGCAGCTGGTGGCATCACCCGTCTTGCTTGGTCCCACGTTGCACAAGGTCAGAAATTAGTATGCATCCGGCGGCATACACGATGGTGGGCGTCTATTCCGTCTATTTCAAGTTACACACGCCTTCAACCGTCGTCTGCCAGACTTTGGGGAGCGGTTGCCATGTTGCACAGGAAGATCCGACAGAGAACGGGAATTACTTGCACCTGGTGAGGTGTTTGCAGGGGATGTCCTTGCGGTGGTGTCTGTCTTGTTCGAGTTGGTGTGGTGCTTTCCCTCAGTCCCATGTCCAATGGTTCAGGGCAAGCTCAACAGTCTTCAGTGGCCCTCTATCGCAGTGTTGCAGCGGGGCCGGGATTAAAGCTCTATCGAGAAGGGATCCGCCCAGGTTGCCTCGACGCTCCCTTTTCTCAATGGCAAAGGAGGGGGCAAGCATGACGGGAGAGTCTGGGCCTGTGGAGCAAGTCCGGCACTACACCTATCCCACGGTCTTAAAGGTTAGTGCGGTTCTTGCGGGGCTTTCCATATAACGAAGCCCCGCAAGTACTACGCTAACCTTTAACACCGTGGGATAGGTGTAGATCCAGCTCACAATTGCTGTGACTGGTAACCAAGTGCTCCTGCCTTACCTTAATAATCCTCACGGCCCAGCCCGATTGCCCAGCGATGCTCATCTCATAACGGAAGCTTGGCGGGAATTACTGTTGCCGGTTGCTGGTGCTGTTGTTGCTGCTGCCGCTGCCGCTGCCGCTGCTTCGATCGGATTGTCGTTGTGCACCTCTCCTGCATGCCTCTTGGTTTGCTGTGCAGAGCTGTCCAGCGCTTTTTTGGTGGAGGAAGCAAGACATTGCCCGCCATTTGCGGCACCTCTTGTCTTTGACCCTGGCTCGACCAAAACTCACCGTCGTCGTGGTTTTTGTATTCTCTTTCCCCCGTCTACTTCTGCTCTCTGTTTTCTGTCTTTCTGGTCACTCGCAAACTCTGCCGACTTTCTGCGCCAATTTCGAGTCGTCGTTTCGTCGTTCGCTTCGCCGCCACCCCCACCAACGACGGTTCGCCTCACTTTGTCTCCCACGACGTCGCGGCACACACGGCACGGCACGGAAGCCAAGGGGAACCAACCGGCACACGGAGACTGCGATGTCGTCAAGGCAGCTGCAGCGGCTCGCCGTCACGCCGCCGTCCGAAGACTCGGACAACGTCGTCCCGGGTTCGCGTTACACAAACCGTCAATCGCCTTCGTCCTCAAATCACCAGTCCCCCGCGGAAGCAGCCCCGCAACGCGCCCACCGGGCCTGCGAAAAATGCACCAGGACGAAGAAGAAATGTGACAAGGGCCTGCCCGCCTGTTCGAGATGCACCAGGTGAGTCAACCCCCCAAAAAACGCAGTGAAGCGCAGTCAATTTTGACGCAGCCAACAGACTCGCCACCAACTGCTGCTACGACTTTGTCGTCAACCCGCCATCACTGACCATCGTCGACCATGGCGTCGCGGCCCAGCAGCCGTACAACGCGGCTGGCGATCCGGGCTCTGCGTTCGAGTGGCTCAATCAGGTCGACTTCACCGCCAGCCAGATCATGCAGCTTTTGATCAGCCGCGGCGTCGACTGGAAGGCCTCAGTCACGATGTATTTCGGTACAATCAACACATGGCTGGCCGTCATCCACCCCGAAGTCTGGGAGAGACGGGTCGCTGCCGCTCAACTCGAGACGAACCCTGACGACGTTGATCTAGCCCTCATGGTCTTGTGCATCCACCTGCTGACCATTTGGAACTGTGACGAGTTTTCCCCGACTGCCATGCTTGAGCATCCTCTGTATCAATCAGCCAAGAGGATATGGATTCTGAGGAAAGCCTTCAGCAAAGCCAAGATTGAGCACATCCAAGCGGGCGTCTTGATCTCTCTCTATGAGCTCGGTCACGGTAACATCTCCCGCTGCTACCAGACTTTTGGTGAGGCGGCTGCCATTGGCAAGGTCTTGTATTTGAAGCCTGGAAAGTACGTCAAGGAGGAAGAGGACTTGCCTGCCGACCCCGAGGAAGAACAGAAGCGAGCCCTCTGGTGGGTTCTCGTCATCATGGACAAGTAAGCGTGCCGTATCCCCGACAAGCCCCAACGTCGGTCACTGACGACTCAGGATTTCCCATGAGCAATCTGCAACCCTGTGGACGCCGCTCCAGATGGACATGCCCGCAGAAGACGACCTGCTCCCAACCGAACACCACCTCTGGGATACTGAACAGAACAAAACAGTGAAGATGGTCAAGCGGTATCCGGTGACCATACCGGCTTCAGTGCGAGTCGGCGCGTTTCAAAGGTCGTGCCAAGCGGCAATTCTCCTTGGCTACGCTTGCCATTGGGAGGTGGCCAGCGCCGAGCAGGAAGAGCCTCCAAGCGTGTACTCATTTGTGCAATTGGAGACAGCCACACGCAACCTCTGCGAAGCTCTCATCACGCGATCTGAGACATGGGGCGAAAACCTCAACACTTACGCCCTTTGCGCAAGGTTAGTTGTCCCTTTTCTGACCTCTTGAATCATTGCTTACACATAGTAGTCTCTTCTGTCTTCTCTTTTACTCCTTCATGTATTCGGCCAACCATCCGGACGCACCGGCGCGCGACCCCGAGACAGACATGGAAATGAAGAAAGCCGTTGCTGGCATCAACTTCACCATTGGCCTGGTTATCGATGGCTCGAGAGGCATTTTTAATGCGTACACCAACCAAGATGAGGTCTTGGAGCATTGTGCGCCGGTGTGGCCTTATGCACAGTACCACACGATGCAACTTCTATTCCATTACGAAGCCTTGCTGGAAGATGGGCAAGGCCAACTAGCAGAAGTCAGGCAGAGTGTGGAGAATACGGCAAAGCGATGGGGCTGTTGCCGCTGGTTGTTGGAGGAGTTTGATAGGGTCCAGGCTGCGAGGAGCGGCGGAGCCACGATGTGCAGGAAGTGAGCTACTTCTGCCTCAACTCTCTCTCGGGTTTCGAAGCTAACTCTACCAGGTGCACGCTCGGAAGTAGGGCTTGCGGACACTACCCATATTCCGACTGAAGGCCATGGAGATACGACTATTCGACGAATTCGGTTCCAGACCTGCCGGGTTAATAGTTCCATGTTTATCGGGCTACATTTATCGGCCTTGGCGTTTGACCACGGCCACAAGACGGCATTGACCTCCTTGCAAGCATACACGGGCGAGGAGGGCAACGTCTGGTCTGAAAGATTAATTGGAGACGAAGCTGACAAAGATGAGGCGTCGAGGAGGCGGCTTTCGACTTGGCAATTGCCACTTGATGATCTGTGTTGGTCACAAGCACCGTCGCATGATTGGAGTGTCGTCGATACTCCGTCATTCACCAAGCGCTTGAGTCCCGGCTACACAGATGCTGGTTGCGACGAACCGTAATACCTGAAGCAGGATTTTCCGAGCCCCCACTTGCCATCGTCAGAGACCGGCAAAAACTGCTGTCGAAAGTGAGGCGGGGAAGTCACCTGTGCGCTGAGATGCCCGATATGTTTCGTGCAGCCAAGTACCTTCGCGTGGTCGGGCAAAGACATTGGGGCAAAGCTGCTTACCAATGATGCGACAGCAACGGCGACGAAGTCTGTTTCTCCTGACCAGGCGCAACTGTGAGAGCTCCTGCATTGAGAATGCAAGGCAGGAAATGGTGGCGCTGATTGCAAGGCCACTCCGGAGGCGCACAGAGAACTCAAGGCTGCACAATCCGAGCATCCCCAGGAATCCGGAAAGCTTCGGGCTCGGATTATCTTGTGGAAGAGCCTCAGTTTCGCATGTGGGCAGAGGATCACTCAGATGACCACCTCACGGACTCCTGCACGTCGAGACTGCAGGTCAGCACATGGAGCACAAGTACAAGCTTGTGATAGATGCCCAAGGCTGAAGGCTGAGCCTGCAGAAGGAGCCAAAACTTCAAAACGAGGTTCACGATCGACGGAGGTTGACGGTCTGCAGCCTCCCCGAGAGGAGGAGACATGGTTTTACAAACCCGTCCGAGCAGTTGCACTCAAGTTCTGCACGTCAAGCAGCTCAGGCCATTTTCTGACGAAACGCTGCACCCCATTTATTCTTCCGTGCCTTTTCATTCGTACTCGTGTGATTGCCTGTGTGAGGTCGGTGACCGTTGACGAAAGCGAACCCCGCAATCGCCATACCATCTGCCGTGATGGACCTCGAAATGAGTGTCTGAGTCTGCGTTACCGCTGTGCCACCACGCAACACCGGAGAGATCAATTATTTGCCTTGCTCGTGCGTTCCAGTAGGTAAATGTCACTATCGGAGAAGGCAAGAGGGGTCCGCCACCAATCGAAGATCCAAGTCGGTCCTATGTCTAAGACATTTTTGTCTTGGCTGGGGGGGCCAAAAGGTGTTTGTTTGTTTGCCATCACCTCGATCTGCCTGCCGCCACTTCAATGGAATATTGAAGAATGCTGTGTGTGCTTTATTCCGAATGCGGTCGAGAGATAAGACACAGAAATGTCTCTGTTACCCTGGTAATGTTTATTTTGGTGCTCTGCCGCGAAAGTGTGTCTCTTGTCCGACGATGATGAATGGCGGGGGTTGTAGGGTGAGATAAGATGTCGTCAAAATAGCGAAAGGAAGCAAGGCCAGTTCCATAGAGAAATCGGTCCTAGCCAAGTCCACGCGAGTGGGATACCGAAGCGAGGGAAAGACGTCGCTTCGCCTGGCTCTTTCGCTATTTCAACGTCCACTGACACACCGACGGCCATGACACCCAAAGGCATGACAAACATACAAGAAAAAGCGACCATGATAGCGACTGGGACGGATATAATCGGATCACGGCGGACGTTGGAAGTGTTTTTTGGTAATTCGATTTTTTAGTTAGCTGTTTAGAGTCTTTCTTAGCTAGCTGTATGGAAAATTTTTCGAGACTAAAAACCCGCCCGACTCTAGTAGTGGTTGTAGTAGTAGTAATAGTGTGGTATCCAAAGAAGCAGTGATGCGGCCGGTGTTTGTTGAAAAACAGACAGAAAACTCGGAACGCCATTCGGGAAATTTGCTTCAAATTCCTCGTTCAGTTCACCCCGCCTGTCCCACAAAATCAAAGACCCCTTTCTCCGTATCGCACCCCGCCGCCAATGCAATGGAAACCTAGAAAAGACATAAAAAAATGTAACCCGACCAAAAAAAGGGTCGAGCGGTGATGGATGTCGGCTTTGTCGTTATGCCGCGTTCCCCACCACCAAGATTAGGAGCATGCCGTTGAGCACGCAGGCAGCGATGAAGCTGCTGTAGACTGCCACGCGCTGCCACATGCCAATAGGGTCGCGGCGGTAGATTGTCATGCCCAGGGCGATACAGGCGCTGAATAGAGAGGCGACAACGCCGACCGTCACACCGGCGTCGACCTCGACGCGCATCTTGTGACGACCGGTCGTGATAAGGATGCCAGCGACGAGTAAAAGGAGAAAGGACATGAAGAAGCAGCCGATGGTGCTCCAGAACAGGACGCGCTCGCGGTACAGCCTCACATGTTGCTCGTTGATGCTCGGCAATGCGGCGTAATGAGCAGCATACCCTGATGCTGGGATGCCGTCGGAGCTTGCATAGTCGTCGTCCGTGTCCGTGCCGAGCGGCGAGATGCCGCCATAACTCTCCAACAGAGGACCGTTTCCGAGCAGACGTTGTCCTTCGGGCGTGTCCCGCTTCGAGAACCACGTCCTAGCGTGGCGGAAGGGTGCTGAGAGGATCGCGCGCATCGAGTCCAAACCGGGGAAGCTTATGTCGTCGTCGGGGTTGATGTAGATAGCGTACTCGTCCTCGGGTCCTCCGCCTTCACTGCCATCATCATACTCGTTCCAGTAGTGCTGTTGCGGCTGGACAGGTTGACGGGGCGGTTGCCGCGCGGGAGGCAGCGGCGAAAAGAAATCGTTAGCAGACCCTCTACGGGACATGTTAGGCTTTCCGTCAGAGGAAGGCGAACTAGGCTCGCTCAACTGAGGAGTAGAAGTGCGCAGAGTGTTGAGAAGTTCTTCGTAACGGGTTTGAAGTTGGTTGAAGTCTCGGCGGGTGAAACTCTTGGGGTTGGCCAGAACGTTTTCGCGAAACCGCGCGCCGAGCGTGGGTGACCCTGTCCATTTCTTGACTCGCTGTCAGCGGGAGATAAGGCGGCGCATTGTGAGACGAAGGGTGCTTACCTTGTACTTCTTTGTGATCTTGCGGAAGGCGACAATCTGGGCATTGATAAAGCGGGCAAGAGCGAGGATGTCCTCGCCGCAGCGCAGCAGGTCCCTTTCGTACTTGGCGAATCGGCGGTGTCGCTTCAGGGAAACTTGGCCACCATCCTCGGCGCATTTGACCACGAGCTTCTGCACCTGGTCGGAGACATGTTCTGCAGCCCTCGTGTTAGCCAATTGGACTCGCACGCATGCACACTTGCTTATCGCAAAAACCTACGCATCCGTCTCGTAATCTCGTCCGCTTTGCTCGTCACGAAAAGGTCGACTCGGTCGTGCTGCTGGCACAGCTCGTTGTAGAGGTTGTCCTCGAACCGCTTGAGGGAGGCATCTTGGTGGCCCGGGATGGCGATAGCGGTAGCCTGGTCGCGTGACGTGTGTACCTTGATTTCGTGTTTTAGGGAATTGTAGTCGACGTTATCTGTGAAAGTCTCCAGTCAGTCGGGAAGGTCTTCACATGCCAATTGGGTGGTGGGCCGGTAGTGCATCGACGGGGCAACGTACGTAGACTCCATTCTGGGACAGATTCCTGCTCGAGCTGTTCGCCGTATTTCATAGCCCTGAAATTCTCGCCTCTTGTTCGAGGGGGATCGTCGCCAATTGCGTGTGGTGAAGGGTTGACAGAAAGCGTGTGCGCTCGGCTGGGCTGGCTGTTTTTCAAGGACGGCGCGGAATCTTGTATTTAGTCAGGTCTGGTAGTGCCCCCAAGGAGTTGGGACTGGTTGGGTGTGGCAGAGATAAGCGGCCGGGGTCGGTGGTGCTCTGGGATGACGCAATGACGGTGACTCGGCCGTCAATTCGAAGCGGATGCGCAGGTGCAGGGAGAAGAAATATGGCACGGTCTATTGTACGGGTGGAATTATGTGCAGAGAGGCAGAAGAAGGTCGCGGGGAGGGTGCACGACTCGAATTGAAGAGAGCACTGCGGAAGGTTAAGTACGGTATGGACAGGAACGGGGATAAGTATGAAGGCAAGGTGCCGTGGGTTACTTACCTTGAGAAGGGCCAAAGTCTAAATAGAATGGAGATTGGAGAGATTGGAGAAAGCGAGCAGTAAGGTACCTCGAGCGGTACAGCGGTACAGCGGTATCCGTCACTGGGCAGTGGCTCTTCTTGCCTTGATAAAAAAAGGGCGACAGGGATTCGATGAGATGGACGAGGGGCGGGGAGTGCAAGACTGGCCGAGTGGACGGGGGGCGCGAGGCAGTGAAGGGTCTGGCTGCATGGATGCTGCTTCCATGGTTCAGGCCGAGTCCTGGTCGACCTGAGAGCAAGTGTCTGGGGGGTGGCTTGCGATAGGTGCGATACGGCGTCGTTTCCACTGGAGCGCTGAAGGAGGCAGTCCTGGTCTGTCTGTTCCAGCCCTTGGCCGTCGTCGACCGATACGTTCCCGGTACCCAGGCAAGTAAGCATCCAAACCGCGGCTACGGTCACGTCTTCAACGTCGACCGCACGCAACCCGACTGGCTGTCTTCCAGGTGGTATGCGTACTTGTTTGATTTGTTGATGGTGTGGTCCCTATCTGCATCTTCTCACTTATCTCAACCAGCGCAGCCAGAAGAAGGAGGTGCGCAGAGGATCGCTGTCTGCAGCGGTAGCGGCTGCTGCATGCCTGCTCCCCAGAGTGAGAAATGGTTGCAAAACGTGCCTTGGCAGCTACGTCTTGGCTCGCAGCAGCAACTTGAAGCAACTGTGCAGCAACCCCCTCGACTCTATGACGCCGGTAGGTGCCACATTGTACACATGGGGGGACTTTATCTGCCAAGCAACCCGATGTACCTGTCTAGCGGCCATCGTGTATCATGAAGCGGAAGTGACCTCTGCCTCTCTTTCTCTTTCTCTCCATCTCTGTCTCCTCATGCGCGGGACGCAGAGCTCAGCTGGGATCCAAGTCGGGTCTCGTCGGGTCTCCGCTCGCAGGGCGTTAGCACATTGGCGATATGACGATGGGTACGCAGACGGATGAGCTAGGGGAGGTCGAGCTGGAGCTGCAGCCGAAGCGGAACATTCGTGGACCGTGGAGGTGCATGTTTTGATGGCCCAGCGATGCCCACTCCGGGCCCGGGGTCGAATTCCTTCAGTTCAGGGTCCCTCCTTTTCATCATTGCTCGCCGATGCCCAACGGCCAGAGAGTTCCACTGGATGCGACTGCGCATTGGCACTTGCGGATAGTAGTATAGTAGTAAGTGCTACTTATCTCATGTTTCTCAGTGTGGACAAAACATACCTCTGCTGATTGCGTATGGATTGGCGCGGATTGTGAGATGGCCGTTACCCTTGACGTTGCAGTGTGAAGGTGCCGTTCTCGGCTCTCTCCTCGACTCTGTTTCGCTGCCGTTTCTGTGAGAGGCAGCTCCCTCCTGCCATGCAAGTCCATTGCTGCTACCGCAATTGCTCCTGCTCTTGCAGCAGCGGCAGGCAGGTGCAGGCATCGTGTCCCCACCAGGCCGGTGGACCTTCCCCTCGTCCACGTCGTGTGTCAGGGAAGGTGGCCCCCGTCACTGCTGCCCTGCGATACGGGACGCTGGAGGTTGACCCCCGTGCCTTCCCCCCTCCCCTCAGGTTAGGCAATTCTTGCTCATCTCGGCCATTCTTTCCCTCTGCGTCTCGACTTCTCCAACTTTCTCCCTCCCAAACCAGACAACATGGACTTTGGACTGAAGAGCCAACAACAATGATTTTTCTCGTCCTCGTGCCATGAGACTGCATTTCGCGCTGCTCGTGCCTCGTCTCGCGACTAAATCCGCCGAGCCGAGCCCTGCCGCCAGAGGAATCGCAGTGGACATGGCGGTGGGAACGATGAAATCTCTGATTCGGAGCGTCTCTTGTGTTCTAGCGCGACAGGGGCTGCAGTGACCACTCACAATCTGGCTTCAGATCACGATGGCCGTTCTTTTTGCCCTCTTCGACGCAAATACATGTTGGGACAAGCTCAACGGCAACATCAACGGCAATGCTAGTTCAATTGTGGCCGACGAAGAAGAAACCGGCAGAAGCCGTGTTACATCCTGCCTCTCGCCAATGTCGGATACTCTGCTCATTCGACGACGGTGGCCATGCGGGCTTGCAGCTTGCCGCGTCCGAGGACAACGCCCTGCCAGAAACTCTGAGCAAGCTGCTGCATGGCACAATACCTCTCTCCCATTGGGGATACCTTCGCCTTTGCCCGCAAATTGCGGTCTGGCTCGTTATATCCCACCACTGTCACCTCATGTCTAGCCACTATTCGATTGACTTCTCTCCTTCTTGTCACCGCGCGTTCGGGCTCGTCGGTGCATTCACCATTTCAACCACAACCTTGCTGCTCGCTTGCATGCAGCGCAGAGCTGCACTTGCACAACCACCCCATTGCGACACGACAGAGTTTGGGCTTTAAAAAGCACTCCCGGGTTGCTCGCAGTCTCGGCCCCCATTCATCGGCACGCACAAGGCCCAGCCCAGCGCAGCCCAGCGCAGAGACCCGGCACAGATAAGATTCCAGTCTGCTGCCCCCTCTTCCGTAAGCGGACGAACCTAACATAGTCAATGAGCACATGCTCACTTTCTTCATTTGACAGCTGGCCGTCGCACTATCGCGACGAGATAAACTTCGTGTCACCTCTCCGCAAAATTCCTTTCCTCTGACTGGCCCGGTCTCGGTTAGGAGCCCATGTCATGGCAGCTTTGCGTGCCATGCGACACCATGCCAGCAGTCTCCCATCGAGATGTGTCCACTACTGCATAGCATGCTGGTCTAATGCCTCCATTCGGATGTACTCGGGCGCTCTCTGCCGTCTTTGCGTCTGAGCCTTTGCTTATTCCGCCATTCCGCCGCAACGCCGCTCCGACACCCGCCAGAATGCTTGGGAGCCGTCGCTTTCAACATGTCCACGATCCATGCTTGTTACAAAAAGAAAAAGACACCAGAGGGTCTCTTCAACTTTCTTGGACCGTCCATGATCGCGCACAGCTGGTACATGTTCCTGCAGAGCGAGCCTCCGGTCGGAATATCAATCCGTCCTTCCCGCTCAGCTCCGGAATTCTGTTGCAAGACGACCCGAATGTTTGGCCGAATCTCGACGAGGCCGAGCCAACATCCTCGCCGCCGGTGTGGAGCTGATAGCGGGCCTCCGTAGACGCTGAGTCAGAATCTACAAAGCGTTCAATTGGCTGGCTATTTCCTCACTACAAATCTGATTCACTAACATCTCTCAGTATCGCAGCCCACACTCTGCCCGTCACCCGGCATCAAACATCAATCCGTCTGCTTCTGTCCATTTCTCTCCACTTCCTCCACTGGAAATGCATCACGACGGAGTCGTTGGCAGACAGATGCAAAATCGCCTTGACCACCCTGCTCTTGGGTCAAGGGTCCTGCGCCCCGGCTCGTGGCCCGCGGTGAGCCGCTTACATGTAAACCCACTTTCTTGCGGCGGTGGATAACAAATGCCTGCTCTCGTACATCCCACGTGCTCGATACGAGAGATCTATTGGTCTCTTCGCGCTTTGCATCCAATCACTCCTACGCAAAGGCACCGCAGGCGTGCATCATTACGCATGGCCATGGGATTTTTGACATTTCGCCCACTGTGGCGGTTTGCTACCGATAGGTCACTGTCTGTTCTTGCCGTCAAGACAAGCAAGGCGCCAAGGAAACACTCAACTGTGCCGGCACAACTACATGGCACTGCGAGATACACCGATAGAAGTACATACGTACTTGCGCAAGACAATCATCGGTACCAAGAGTCCAATCCGGTCTCGCTTACAGAGTACACACAATGTTCAAGGTCTGCAGTCTTTTCCCCTCCCACAGCCTTCGAATGCGGATTGGAGCGGCACAAAATCACCTGTTTCGCCGTCTGCACCTCCTGATTGTTCGCAGGACAGTGGCACTAGAGGATCTGGCGGGACGCTTCAGGATCTATGCAAAGGCCCCGGTCGAGTCCAGGATAATGGTCACTGGAGATGCAACGTTCCAAGGGCTCGCAAAGAAGGCAGCTCAAACTCGGACTTCGACGTCGAGGCCCCCAAACTGCCCCGCCATCACTCCGCTCTCGAGGGTAAATTGGAAAGAGACGAAGGATTGCAAAAGGTCCTAGTCCATCACGGAGCCGCATCTGCACAGATTTGTACCCTGTTCCGGGTAGATTCTCGACCGTTGCTGCAGTCATACCAATGTAAGCGGAGACAGAAACACAGAGCGGGTTGAGACCTTGGAGTCCCACCGACCGGGCATTTCGAGGGCGAGCACGCGACTCTATTCCGAATCCGTCACCGAGAGCATCCCAACGGGTCACAAGCAGGGGCAAATTGAAAATCTGCACCAATAACACTGAACTTGAATTCTAGCGGCCGCTTGAAAGAGTATTTGCTCGCGTGCTCCGTCGGTCGCAAAGGAAGTGGAGGGGCCCATGTCTGCAGGTTGAAAAAGAAAATTTAATTCATCTTCCGCATGGAATTCTCTTGAACATCCGAGACGGATCGGCGGATGTTGGAGCCCCGTCGACACCTTCCGATGGCGACCCGCCCGCACTGGTCCAGCCCCCCGAACTGCATGGAGATTTGAGGTTTATCCGCGTCTTGTTTCCGCCGACACGCAGTTGGTTGGTTATTGTCGGGCCAGAGCCCATAGCTCGGTCGAATCCCACGGGGTCGAGTGATACTGAGAACGGGGTCAATAGGGGAGCAGTCACATCTCAGCCGTGAGGCTATGGTTATGGCCCATCAAAAGAAGACGGCAAACCCACCCTGGCATCCGTACTTGCTACAGAAAAGCCGAGCCGCAGGATACACATTCTGTACTATCCAGGGGTGACATTCACGAGTGTGGTGTTCCGGTTCAAATACCCACACACCTCGGCGAATCTTCCCGTTCTCTACAGCCGCTTCGCATGGCAGAATCTTCAATAACCCTTATCGATCTGCATTCGTAAAGGCACTGGCCTGAGATCGGATCCCTAGTAACGCGCCTTCCGGTGCTTTAACCTTCCAAAATTGGTTAGATCTCGATGCCAGGCGCTTGTATGCGTTGCAAACCTGCCCCCAACTAGAAGGGACCCTTGCAAAGCCTTGTTGGATAGGTTGACGTACGCTGGCTTGCGAAGCTCCTACCCGACAAGGAAGTACTGTACGCCGACCCATCATTTTTGTCGTTCACATCGCGAGCAACGACGACAACAACAGCCGATCATGACATCGGTCAGCGCTCGCTACAAATCAGTGTATCATTGGGTGCGGAAAACTGTGAGTGGAAAAATATCTCCTTCTCTCAACTTCGTATTCCGAGAAACTCAATTACGGCCGAAGCGTTGTCTTTTGACATGCGTCTATCAAACTTTATACAAGGAGTTGGTTAGTTATCAGTAACCTCGCAACTATTGAAGCATACTTGGGCCTAGCGGCGCAGCGCAGCTGAGCAAGGGCCTCCGACCGGCAAATGCCAAGGCAACACTGAAAGGTGGGGACCGTACGGGAGCGGGGCCCGGCTGGCCGGTCTTCTCGGGCCGGGGGCTTGGGGCTAGACGGCTGGCGACGTACCCTTGCCGATAGAAATTTTCTCCTTCCTTCTCCCCTCTCCTTCATTTGACCACCCAATCCATGCGTATTTTATACGATGGGCGGGGACCATAAGAAATTTTGAGGGACGTGGCAAGTTGCAACCCCCCCGCTTTCGCATTCGACGGTGGCGCCGGGCTGAAGTCTTTTGTGTGAATTGCCTTCTTTGAGTGGGATTGGAAAGGGCGATAACGTCCATATACATGTGTGAGGCAGGGGGCTTGCTGGTAAGTTGCTGACAGCGTGGCTGCGGACAGCTGGTCGACTTGTAGTTTGTCACTTGTGGGAAAGACTCCGAAAGAGGGGTAAAGAGGGAAGAGACAAGAGGATCGTGGCAGTATGCTTATTCCCGTCGGATTTTTTGGGGTCTGAGGGTGTAGGACTGCGGCATATGTAACCTTTAGCCTGCTTATGTTGCAACGTGCACGAGTTTCGATTTTCAGATGAGCCTTCTGGTTGACAGAGGTCACTAATGTCTTTCAAGCTTGTGGTTTTAATTGAAGCGTACTTGAGTCCTCAGATACTGGTAAGTACTGCTGGTTATTGCTGAGCTATGCTTGATATGCATTAGAGGTTGTCGTAGATCTTCTGGCTGAGCTTCGCACAACTCAGGGTAAAGAGCTTGGATCTCAGAGGATTTGCTCGTAAGCCTTTTGTGTGGCCTAGGTATGTCTTGTTTGCTTCTGTGCTTGAGCGTTCTTGTGCTTCCCGTCCCTTTCGCGCAAGTGTTCTTTGTCTCTCCTTAGTTAGACACCTTGCTTGTCCTCAAACTGGGTGTGCTAGAACTGGCGAGTTGCGCGGAGTGGGCCTTTGAGGTGGTCACTTTGATGTTTCATTTTCAGACCTGGGTGCGTTCTCTTCAGCCTGGTGTTATTATTCCTAGAGATAGATATTAAAAGTCTAAGAAGGGGCTATTTCTTCTCTGCGTCCAGCGTAATAACTCCCAGCTGATTAGAGTGGGAATACGCGCGTGAAGATGGTTAGAAGCACAATGCGGGCAGCTAGAAAACTTAAGAGATTCCTTGAAGAATAGAAACCACGCAGCATAAGTTGCTTCACACAGGAGACATAACCATAAAAGGAGGCTCTCTCAGCCTGCAGGTAGCCTTTAACCAGCAATGATCTCTCCAGTGATCGCGCAGACAATCAAAGCGAATAGAGTCTCTTATAACTCAGCATGTGGATTGATGGCTGATGCGCACACCTAATCTGTGACTGATTTCCTTGCACCTTGTTCTAACTAGAACATCCTTCTCTGTGTCCGTCACGATGACTCTTTGTGTATACGTACATTTCCGCCCGATTACACAGGATTTGATCCTTTTGCGCAATAGCGCAGCAGAGACTTGCTGTGAGCCTGTGACACTGCTGTTTTGATCTGAATGGCAAAGGCATCTTTGTACCGCGCAGCGAACCTATATCGCCTGTCAATCTGTGAAAGCCAGCTTCAAATCACATGAGTTCTCACATCTTAGTGAGGACAAACAGTCTGCTTTAATCTCAGTTTAAGGCGGACTGGAAACTGCAGACACCAAAGTATATAATGCGCATACTTGGAGTTGCTGGCCACAGCCGCCAGCAAGACAATGCGAACGCATTAACTGCTCCAGAAATTAGTCTGCATGTAAGCGTTGTGGCCTTTGTCTGGCATTGAATAGAGTGCGATGTGATCGGAATTGCGATGATGACAGAGGTAGGTGGGACCTTGTATGGTGAACTTTTGTCTCGCGCGTCCGTCATGCCTTTCATCTGGCGCTTATTCTCTGATGTGTATAAAGCTTTTCGTCTTGCTTCTGTCTGGATTTCGTCTAACAACGGCAACTGCGCTAAGTCTGTGAGCAGCCTTGTTCAGGACAGCATGAGAAACAGATGGGAAGTGCGCGTCCATTGGGGTGTTTGCTGCTCCCGAGACATTGTGCCCTGTTCTTAAGCATTCGACATGCGGTCTTATATACACTGACTCTGGTCTACATGTGAGTGTGAGTGAGATGGTACTGAGATGCTAGCACTTCTCATGTTCTGTCCTGGGTCGCTGTCATTTGCTTTGCGCGCGCAAGTATTGGGTGTAAGTATCCCCGCTATCATAGTTGGGCAGGTTTACAAACTGGCTGCGCTAGGTCAGCTATTGTTTCTATCACTGGATGTTAGAAATCTCTTGGCGCATGAAATGAGTTAGCCGACTCTTACATTTTCTACCATATCTTCACACGTAACCTCTTTGATGATCAAACATAACGCGGACCTGGCTTTTAGAAGGTTAAGTAATAAGCACCACTGAGAAGCCTCTGCAGCAGCTGTCTATAAGAGAGCTGTGGACTAATGAAAAAGAGTGACACAGTACAGCGACACAGGAAAGCATGCTATTAATTTGCCGACTACCTGGTTGTGCTATCAGCTAGAAACGATAGTTGCGACTGCAAATTCCTCTGCACCCAAACAATAAAGATAAAATCAGCGTGGCATGACTGTGCCAAGCCTCGTTGTCATTTCGTGAAGCATGGTGTCTGGTGTGTGGAAATGAGCGTAGAAAAGCTGGGTGTCTGATTTCCAGAACCCGTGGACCCTTTCAAAGCTTGTGCAAAGAGACTCGCCTCCGAGAAAAGCAGCCTTCCGGCCGAGACCAAGCCGGAAGTTTTTCTCCATCAGTCTGCAGAGCCCCTTGCCACGTGCATCAATGGCATCACCATTGGGCCTGGAATGGCGTTTAATTCTGATTCTCCTGACAGAAACTACGTTCCATATCTGCGCTGCTCAAAATGTCTCACTTTGCCCGGCTTGGCTGATCAGGAGAGGCCCGACGGCCCGCTCGCCGCCACCTTCAAGGGACCATGAGACAAAACATGACAGGACAATCAACGATCCAATTGACAATGTTATCGTACTACGATCTTGATTGGCTTGTCTAGCGCCAAGGGCCACTTTTGCTGGCATGCCAAGTCCAGGTTCAACAGGGGAGTTCATCTCAGGATGGGGTCATGTTGATTCTGGTTCCATCAACCTCACAGCGGGATGTTATCAAATTCACTCAAACAGCATTCCTGTGTCCTTGCGCAAGGTTGATTAGAGACAAGGGTGCAAGCGGCTTGTTGAAAGTCTGCGGCCGAAAGAACCATCGAATGCTGAATGTACTGTCTGCCTACATAAGCCCAAGGCAGTAGTAGCTCGTTGTAGCCTAACATAAGTGCCACAGGCAGACGACATTCACCTCTGCTTTCTGTCCACGAAAGTTCAAAGTCCGTGAGGATAACCACCTAATATGATTCGACCATCTACGCTAGCTGGCACTGCAGCTCTATGGGTAACGGCAACGGTAAATGTTGTTCACTGTCAATTCAATTACCTTGGATGTGGCGCCATTACCAATTTCAACAGCCAGTTCCAGAGAATAGGCCCCTTTGATCCATTTATCTGTCAGCTCATCTGTCCCTCCAACTCCGGAAGCAGCTACATTGCCCTGTACAACCAGGACTGTTATTGCGGCCAATATTCCATAACCCCGGCCTTTGCGGCAAACCCAGCACCCGATGATTCCCTCTGCACTATTGCCTGTACGAATCCTCAAACAGCTGGACAAAAGTGCGGCGGCGTTGTCAATGGCATTACGGTGTACAACATCTACGGTAACCAGCCTATCTCAACCTTACCTGGGAGCTCCACAACATCAAGTTCGAGTAGCAGCTCTAGCACTCTCACGAGTTCTTCGACCGTGGTCACAACAACTTCCTCGAGCAGCAGCACATCAAGCACCGCATCCTCATCTACACCAACATCTACCAGCGCCACTAGCTCTTCAAGCTCAACCGTCACAAGTAGTACGATTACTTCTTCGACCTCGAGTACTTCATCGACCATCTCTAGCGCAACAGAGACCAGTAGTGAGAGTACTTCTTCCACGATCAGCACCACCTCCACTTCTTCCAGTGTTTCGTCGACGGAGAGCTCATCATCGACGCCCTCGTCCTCTTCCTCAACCTCCGCAACCACAGCTTCCGCCTCCACATCACCCGCATCTACATCTTCTCAAAGCTCTTCATCTTCGACAGGTATGTTCTCGCCGGTACCGCTCTACTATGGTCTAACTATGTCGGCAGATTCGTCCTCTACTAGTGCCAGCTCGGATGCCGTTAGCTCTACGTCCCCTAGCCCACTTTCAACGTCCACTACGAGCACCAGAAGTAGCAGCAGCCCCCCAGTTGTCTCATCGAGCGTGTCCTCAAGCGACATCCCGACTCTTCCCCAAACAACAACATCCATACCAGGAGTCTTCAGCCCCTCATCTTCCTTGAGGTTCACGAACTCGAGCATTCCGGCATCGGTACCAGCGACTTCGCAAGTGATCACCAGCTCACCCATTGTCGTAGCACCGTCTCCGAGCCCCGCAGAGACCCCACCAGTCTCAGAGCCAAACTCCAACCCTGGTCCCGGGCCTGGGCAAAGCTCTTCTCGGACCACATTGCCCGTCGTCAACCCGAGTCCGAGCTCTAGCCCCGGATCCGTTCCAGCTTCTCTTCCCCTCTCCGTGCCGTCGTCTCTGCCAACCTCTCTGCCAACTTCGCTCCCGGTCATATCAGTTCCCAGCTCGGTGTTGCCAGTTTCATCGAATGTTCCGATCCTAAGTTCGGTACCGACCGTGTTGACCTCCAGCCCCACCTTACCGTCTCCGAGTACATTGGTCTCCGTATCGAGCGTTGCCACACCGACACCCTCCATCCAGTCATCCGGCGAGATCAGCGTCTCTTCTAATTCTCCTGCCGTCATAGTGACGAGCAGCTCTACGACTATCGAGGAGACGCCTTCAACTACTATCATCACACCGATCTCATCGAACACGGTATTTGTCAATTTACCGATCAAGTTGGTGATCCGCGCCGCTGTACCTCAGTCCCCAGCTGAGACGACCGGCGTAGGCGGTGCTCGGCGACGACAAGCTGACATGGTCCAGTATCTGAAGCTTTGAGCGAATTTGATGAGATTATGAATGTACGCAAGAATCGTATGTAATTAATTTCTAATGATTTACAAACACCTATAAGTATATTGTGCAACCCAGGTTTTGACTTGGTGGCCTGGAGGCGTGCAGGTTCACAATCCGCAAACGCTCTATGCGCTTCTAATTAGGATACTGTAGAATCAGTCATATCTTCCTAGGCTTCAACTTTGCTGTCGCAAATTTTGATGCCCGAAAGAAAAGCACAACCATAACGGTGCCCACTTCTTTAGCAAACGCCAGAAACAATCAGGGCCAGAAAGAAAATCACCGAATATTTCAACCGCTCGGGAATACTTACCTACTCTCAGGTGTCTGACAAGGCTGCGGACTATCGACTCAAATCGGTTGGCGAGTCGGTCGGTATGGAGACATGCCAAGACCCAGAGCACCAAAGGACCGATGCCAAGTGCTGATATGGGTACGAAACTGGCCGCCAAGCCTCGTAGACGACATTTCCTGAGGATTCACTGGCACACTAGAGCACTGTAATGGAGTGCGACATTTTATCAGATCATGGATCGACAAATCAGATGGATCAGATAAGATTTCAAAGTCGAAAAGTGGTGGCAGTGTGGTCGGCCTTCTGTCCGAGTTTTCGACGCGAAAGAGTCTGGCCTGGCTTGGCCTTGACCATGGGACTTTGCGCAAATTTCGTAGCCAACATAAGAGTCGCATCCACCTTCAGGCTCTTGTATGTGTTCTTGCTCGGTAGGGTGTTCTCAAGTCGCCCATGATGGATGCCGCTCTGAAATCTCATGTCCTCGTCACGGACACCGAGAAGTCGCCAGAACCGCCAATTTCAGAGACCAGCGCACCTCGAGACAATGACGACGAAACACTGCGGAGGATTCCCTGGTCTTACAAATGGATCGCTCTTGTTTGTATTGTTTCCCTGCCGATCGGGCATACCTGGACCGGCTCGGCTCTCGGCCCGCTGAAGAACACCCTCCGGAACGAGCTCGACATCAACAATGCGCAGTTTGGCGTGATCAGCAGCGCGGATGCATTCGTCAATACGGTGTTTCCCATTATCGGAGGTTTGATCCTGGATTGGTGGGGCCCGAATGTGGTGACCATGTGCTGCACGGCGGTCATCCTCGTCGGCTCCGTGGTTGCGGCGTCCGGCGTGCAAGTGGGGTTGTGGAGGGTCCTCGTGTCCGGACATGTGCTGATGGGATTCGGGATTGCGGTGCTTGACTCGGCGACACAGAAGGTAGGTTCACCTCGGGCAGTTTAGGGACACTTACTAGATGTCTGACATGCGTGGCTAATATCAACCTGGCAGTTCTTCTACCACTGGTTCGGTGCCTCCGGTCTAGCCTTCGCCTTCGGCCTCGAAAGCGCCATTGCCAACACCGTCAGTCTCGTGTCCGGCATGGTGGCTATCCCCATTCGCGACGGAACGGGCTGGTACGGCTGGACCTTCTGGATTCCCGTCTTCTTCTGCGGCTTCTCGCTTGCCGTCAACATCGCATACGTCTGCTTCGAGCGCCTCGCAGTCCCAGCACACTTTCGCCTCACTTCCGGCCGAGCCAAAGCTATTTCGGAGAAGCAGAACTTGTCGGATCGCAAGAGATTCTCGTGGAACGTGTTGTTCACCCTGCCCTGGGCGTATCTTATGCTGCCTGCAACACAACTTCTACAGAGTGGTGCTGCAGGTGGATTCAGCACCAGCTCTGCAGACATCATCTTCATGAAAGGGTACACTGAAGAGGTTGCTGGGTATTTGTCGACGGCGCAGAAAATTCTGCCAATTGTGCTGAGCCCTGTTGTTGGACTTGCCATTGACAAATATGGACACCGGTTTCACTACGTTGCAACTGCCCCCATACTATGGATCATTGCCTGTTCGATGCTGGGCTTTACCGACGTTCATCCGACAGCAGCCCTTGTCTTTTCAAGTCTGGCAGGTGTGATCAACTCTATGCCGTTGCAGATTTGCATTCCGCTGCTGGTTGCAGATCAAGCCAAGATCGGGACGGCCTTTGGTGTATGGCGAGCGTTCAACAATTCCGGCTCAACGATCGTAAGTCGGCCTCATCCAAAAGATTATCTGGAGTCATTTTTGCTGACTTGAGAGTGTAGATGGACGTCGTCTTTGGCGCCCTCCAAGATAGCACCGAAGGCAATGGCTATTCGAAGGTGCTCATCGTTGCTATCGCGATCAAAGCCTGGGCGTTTGTGTTGGGACTTTCGTACATCTTCATCGACTACAAGTTTCTCGGCAAGGGCATGACTATGACGAGGAAGCAGAGAGAAGCTAGGGAGTCTCAAATTGTTGACAAAGAGGCTGATCCCCTGACGAGACGAACCTCGAAAAAGTGGTTTACTACTCTCACATTCGGGCTGTTGCTTGCCATCATTGCGAGCGCATGGGCCGTTTTCGTGCGGTACTTGATCTGATGGATATCGCGAGTGGTTGGGGGTCCCTAAAACAAATAAGTGCATTGGGCTTGAGACAGGAGAACCTCTCTGAATCCAGTGTGGATTTCAGTCGTCAATTCGCTACTTCACTTGCAGTCTTATTTGTCTGAAATGCTTGGCATTAGTGTCCAATAATGTGCTAATGTCATGTTAGAAACGGGAATTTTCGGTGCGCCAATAGGGAGCTTACCGTGATGAGATTAGGTGTCATGTAAGCCGTTTCATCTTAATGCCTGCCCCGATCAGCGCATCTCCGGGGCGGAAGCGATGTGTTTTCCGAGAGCGAGCAAACGAGAGGTCTCCCGTCAATTGTATCTTTGTTGACCCAGAAGCTGATGGCATTTTGCTTTCCATGGTCATATGAAATCACGGTAGAACGCGCTCACTAGACACCATTTGTGCGTTGACCAGGATTAACTTACGGCTGTCAGCCAACATCGATAACCTTGAAACGTTATTTCAACCTGAACCGTGTTCACTCAGCCCATGGCATGTACGCACCTCGAGCCGGCTTTTTTGCGGACTTTTTGATCCCCGATGAGTAGCAGCGGCGGCAGACAGTCCGTCAACGTAGTATCAGTTGGATTTGCTGGGTGGAGATTCTCGTAAAGACCTGCAAGATCCCGAGCTGTTCAGCGGTCACAACGCTCCTTTTCCCCAAAACTCATGCTTGGCATCGAATACGGGACACGGGATCATCACACCATCATCGTGCTGGGCAGAAATCTTCCACAAAGCACGATTCGAACTCCTTTTCGAGCCATTTTCTCGTCAGATCTCAGGACCAAGAGTCTGGGGAGAACCCTCTAAACAGGAAACAGGCCCACCGAACTAGCTATGCTTGCTTAGGCACCCCTGTAATTGAGTGCCTCTAGGCGCTTCGAATTGGGGAGGTGGATACCCCATCAGGAGAAGTCCACCACACGGAAAACGAGGAGAAGAAGCGTCTAGACCATCTGGGGATTTGGGGAACCCGAACAGGCGTTGGTCAGGTGGCTGTGGTCTCGGAAAGATGAGTAAACCTGCGAGCGCCCCCTGAAGCGCCGGCAAACACTGCACATAAACAGAAGCGCAATTTCCCACCAGGCGGATCTCAGGACCCCTGCGTTGGGCACGTCAAGTCGTTGCGGATAGAGTTGTTTTTCACTCTATTCTTTGGACTGCTCGTCCGGTCTTTAGTCGCACGGCAGGGAAACTAGAGCCGAATTGAGTTTATTGAAACGTCACGTCCTGGACTGCCAAGAATTACTAGAGAAAGAAGAAGCTTGACATTGGATCGATTTGGGGTTGAGATGTTTGCCAAGACCTAACCTCCTTTCGGAGGCCTTCCCTGACGTCCGCAGAAGTTGCGCCGTGAGGACATCTGGAGACTAGAAAACTAGAGCGTGCTCCTAGGATATGGCTTTCTTTGCGGCCTCTTCACTTGCTCTTGCTCTGGTTGACTCCTCTTCGAGACCATTTCCGTTCTTTGCGCATCCTTTTCCCCTCGTTATGTTCTGAGAACACACGCATTCTTTTCTATCTACAATTTCCCAACTGGAGCAACATGTTTGCCTCTTCCATTCTTTTGCTGTCGTCCCTGGTGGCCAGCGCCCTTGGCGCGTCCCGGACTTCTCCCCCCTCCGGCGCCCTCGTGGTCGCCAAGTCTGGTGGTCAGTACAGCACCATTCAGAAAGCTGTTGATGCTGCCAAATCTGGTAGCGTCATCTTCATTCAGCCTGGTACATACAATGAACAGGTCTTGATTCCTGCCTCCGTTGGCGCCCTCACGATCTACGGCTCCACGTCTAACGACCAGGACTACTCCAAGAACACCGTCACTATCACCAACAGCCTAGGTGCTGACCAGGCCGGTAACAATGACGCCTCCGGCACCCTCCGAGCCAAGAACGACAACCTCAAGGTCTACAACATCAACATCGTCAACTCCCGTGGTAAGGGCATCCAGGCCATTGCCTTAAGTGCCTACGGCAACCAGCAAGGATACTATGGCATCCAAGCCAAGGGCTACCAGGACACTGTCCTCTCCAACCAGGGCAAGCACTACTTCCACGGCTCTTACATCGAGGGTGCCACCGACTTCATCTTCGGCCAGAAGGCCATCGCCTGGTTCGAGTCTTGCACACTCGCCATCTCCGGCAAGGGTTACATCACCGCCTCCGGCCGCGACTCTACGAGCAACCCGTCGTGGTACGTCATCAACAAGTCCACCGTCAAGGCCCTCTCGGGAGTCGGCGATGGTCAGACATATCTCGGCCGTCCCTGGCGCACCTTCGCCCGTGTCGTCTTCCAGAACAGCAACCTCGGCTCCGTCGTCAACTCTGCGGGATGGATCAAGTGGGGAGACAACCCAACCGACAACGTCGACTACAGCGAGTACGCCAACACCGGCAAGGGCGCTGAGGGGACACGTGCTAGCTTCTCCAAGAAGCGCAGCTCTGCTGTCAAGCTTGGTGACGTTCTCGGTTCCACCTCCTGGATTGATTCGTCTTACACCAGCGGCGCCAAGTCTGCCGCCGTCGCTGTCTCCGCCGAGGTTTCCGCGCCCGCTGTTGTCGCCGATGCCGTTGCCCAGACTACCCCCACAACTCTCTCCACCGTTGTCAAGGCTGCTGCCACACCTGCTGCCGTTGCCGCCGCCGCCGATGATTGCAGTGGTACCCCTGACGGCTTCGCTTCTCTGAACGGCGGCACCACTGGTGGCAAGGGTGGCGAGGTTGTCGTTGTCAAGACCCAGGCCGATCTCGAGAAGTATGCTGGCTCCACGGGCAAGTATGTGATCAAGGTTTCTGGAAAGATCACGATCACACCTAAGGGCAAGGAGGTCAAGGTTTCTTCCGACAAGACCATCGTTGGTATCGGTGCCACTGCCGAGATTGACCAGGGTGGTTTCAACATCCAGAACCAGCGCAACATCATCTTCCGTAACCTCAAGATCGGCAACACGTACGTTGAGGGTGATGATGAAGGCAAGACTCAGGACTTTGACGGCATTCAGATGGTAAGACGACTTCATCTCATGAAGGGTTGAGATACTAACTCATGAACAGGACAACTGCACCAACATCTGGATTGACCACGTCCACCTTGAGAAGGGCGGTGACGGTCTTATCGACAGCCGGAAGGATACCACGTTCCTTACCGTATCCTGGACCATCCTTCGCAACCACAACAAGGCTTTTGGCATTGGTAAGAACCGTCCATCTCTTCATCATCTCCCTTGAATTCCGTCACTAAACCAAACCGATGTAGGCTGGACCGACAACGTCAGTGCCCAGATGACCATCCACCACAACTACTTCGACCAGACCAAGCAGCGCAACCCTTCCGTCGACAACGTCAAGAACGCCCATCTCTACAATAACTACCTCGTTGGTCAGACCTCCTATGGACACTACGCCCGTGGCAAGACCGAGATGGTCATGGAGAACTGCTACTTTGAGAAGGTCAAGAACCCGATCCAGGCCGACAGCACTGCCAAACTCAGCGCCACCGGAAACGTGTTCAAGAGCACCAGCGGCACCACGGCTAAGAATGCTGGCACGGTCTTCGACCCCAAGACCTTTTACGACTACACCGTCGATGCGGCGAATGATGTGCCGAGCATCGTTTCCAAGGGTGCTGGTCGTCAGGCTACCATTTGCGCTGCTTAAGCATCAGGAATATGAGTCGGGAAGAGCAGTACGCTTGTCATCGGGCGTCACGACATAAGTGACGTTTTGAAGAGGAAGTTGGGAATTCTATGTATTTACTTTTTGAGGCACATCGCCGTTGATGACGTGTATATATACGCGCTGGAGCCGTTCATATTGAATAAGAACATTGGCATCGTGACGAAGGACCCATTTGCTTTTTTGAGCTAACCCCTGAAGACGGTCTTCATATCGTTGGCAGGTTCCTCTCGAGACATGATGCTGATGCAGCGGCCGTGGCATCATCTGTCCCACAAAGACGTCCGAGAGCCGCATACCAGTAATCCTGCCAGGCGTGTAACATTGACTCACTGGAATGTTATTGAATCGAATACCGAAATGCGGTTACTGCAGATCATTTGAAGAAACTGAAAGTTTCGGGCCTTCTCGGCACAACTGGCCAGTCTTACTCGGTGGAAGATGGAAACATAACATTTTTTCGGTCTCCTCAGTCATTACTGAACCGATGCTGATCTGTTGAACTGATTAACCCCGCAGGCCGCTTGCCTATCCAATGATATCTCATCTTCTCAAATCGCAAACATACGCCTCACGACAGTGGTTCCAATCAAGATAAAAAGCACCTCTTTCCCTTCTTTACGTCCCATCCTGATCGTCATCAAAACCTGCCAGATTCCATGCAATCTCCGAAGATGTCTTCCAAGTTGTCACAGCTGCTCATGCTACTCTTTGTGGCACAATCTCTCGCCCAGCAGCAGTTTGCAAAGCCCTGTGTATGGGACTATCTCGGATGCGTCTCCCTCACCGAGTCGGACTTCAACAACAACTTCCTAGAACTCTCGGTCAGCAACATCATGACTCCCAGCATGTGCGAGACCAACTGCAGGATATCAGGAACGAAATTTGCCGTCTTGTTTGATGGCGCTCGATGCGCATGCAGCAGACGCGGATCTGGCGACCCCCCATTCGTCTTGCAGCCTGAAGCATCTTGTAACGCAACTTGCGACGGCAACGATCAGGCTACATGCGGCGGTGCTGACGGTGATGGACTGTATACGGCTTATGTGAGAATCAACTGTCCCGCGTCGACATAAATCACGTCTCGCTCTGTTGGGCCCGGTTCATCGGCGTCGCCGATTGTCTTTTCGGCGGTGCAAACCATCTCGGTGGCCTGCCTGCAGCACCATCAATAAGATTGCCCGCCGAGTCTCCAGGGTTCTCAACGGGCCCTTTATGCAGCTTTCCAGTCAGACGTTAGGCAATATTTCCAACATTTGTCATGGCCAAAAGGGTTTGCATCTCAAGTCATCACTTGTAGATCATTTACATATTGGTATGATAGAAGGCTGTTGTTTTAGGAAGAATCGAGAGGTTTGAGAAGGGGTTTGAGAATGGTGGTATTTGTCAATCACCCTCTCGGCATTTGTCGTGCATATGCAGCATACGCAGCAAGCTAGCAACATACGTTCAATTCCACTCAGCTGGGTCTTGCTGCACTGTTAGTACCCAAGAGGAAATGATGGACATCGAATGCAGGGTATGCTGTATGCTATCACGCGGACGAGTGTTGGTTGTGTGGACTCCAATCGCTTTGGGAGCCACACAGAAGCCAGCCCCCAAAGATTTGTCAAACAGCCTGGTCTAAACCTCGAAGAGCCAAGTTCTTGGTTGTGAAGGCTGGATAACGTCCTCTTTCAGCTTTTTCGAGCCTTCTGTTTCCTAGACGCTAACCTCAATAATGAACAGTCACCTGTAAAATGGCAGCTTGGAGTTGCTGTTGCTCATTGGTCCAAGAAAGCTAAGCCTGGCTATGGATCCTTTCGGAGACATTTGTCATTATTGGTTCAATTCTGATTGGTCGGAGTCGGGCTCAGTTGGATAGAACATTGACAGGCTACTAGTTGCCTTATCGCCCCCATTCAAGACGACAACCACCATCTCGAAGGAGACATCGAATCTTGAGAACAAGCGTCACAGACAGTGCATTTGAATAAGGCTATCAAACACAATGATGAAAAAAGATGAAGTTCAAGCATATATTCCGGAGACCTCCTCCATGGATGGAGAAATCCTTCGTCTCAAGCGAGCATTGATGTCCGACAACGACAAAGCACACTCCTGCGAGCATTGCAAGATCGTGACAATGGCGCCTCTTCCCCCTCCCAAGACAAGTCGAGCTAGCTCTGTGGATGTTGAGTTCTTCCGGCTCGATACAACCGTGGAAGAAATAAGGAACATGTCCGGCCGAAGGTGTACTCTCTGGACTGTCATCCAAGACCAGCTGACAAGCATAGAAGCAGAGGCAAAGACTCAGAAGAAACAAAGAATCAACGCTTGCGACTTGGACGACTATCACGAGAATAAGATAGAAGCGCATGAAGAGAAACTTGCTGCTTCTGTCGACGCGTCTGAAGCGAACGAGTATCCCCGCTTGCGGAAACGCCTCTTTTGGGATCATGGCGAAGTTCTCGGTGACAAGGAAGAGTTTCCTGTGGGCCAGAATAATTGCGTCCGGGTGACCATGGGATATTCTGCTATCAACGACTTCAAGGACAAAAACGTCATGGTGTACATCGGAATGTTGATCTCCAAAGGATTCCCCGAGACTGCGAGTCCCGATCGCGGAGAAGTCGAACTGGTGCAATATTCGACGAGGTTCCTCGCTCTTTCGCTCTCAGGTAAGCCACTTTCTGGGAATTGGCACCAGATGTTGCAATGCTAAGCTAGACTAAGGTTATTTTAACAACGCTTCCCGAACCATTGTTGGCTCTCCTGTCAATTTGAATCCAGGGAGTCCAGCTTCGATGGATCTCATCCGCAAGTGGCTGAGCAACTGCGACATGAATCATAAATGTGGAATAATGGACCTACCAGATTCCATGCCTTCTCTGGTTATCGATGTATCAGACCCTGGTCGCAGTCGACTGTTGCGGGTGCCTGAGAACATGAGAGAGCGCTACATCGCACTGTCCTACTGCTGGGGAGGTGTCTCTCAAGCCATCATGTTGAGAACTGGCAACATGTCTGATTTGACCTCTTCTATCGATCCGCAGAAGCTAGATCCAACTATTCGGGACAGCATAACCGTCACCAGGGAGCTCGGATTCAAATTCCTATGGATCGACGCACTATGTATCATTCAAGACGACTACGACGATAAGGTGAAGGAACTAAGAAGAATGGGTGATATTTATCAGAACGCCACCTTCACAATCGTTGCTTCCGCAGCGAAGGATGTCAAGGAAGGGTTCCTCGGAAAGCGGGCTCCAACCTATGAAACAACTGGAAACCCAGATGGGCAAGTCCAACCGGTATTCGAAGTCCAGGCCGAAGTTGATGAACCCACTGGCCACGAACAACAGACGATGATACTAATACCGGACAAGCTGGATGAAATGGAGCCCTGGTATGAGAGAGCTTGGACCCTCCAAGAACTGCTATTTTCCCGACGCCGACTTCAGTACCGCGCCCGGCAGACGACGTGGATATGCCATTGCTCCGAGTCATTGGTCGAAGACTGCGACGGTTGGATCGGGGGAATGGGGAACACTTACATCAATTGCTCTGATCAATACCTCTTCCGAGGGCTCATGGCTTTGCTGCGGGGTGGCGAAAGCGCTCCCCCAAAGACTGATGTTCTGTCGCATTGGTACGACCTTGTGGAGGTATACTCTGGACGAAAGCTGTCTCATCGAGCCGACCGCTTCCCTGCTATATCCGGCATAGCGAGAGAATTTGCGGCTCTGTTGGAAGATCAGTACATTTGTGGCTTGTGGAGGTCTGATTTGGCGAGGGGACTGATGTGGTTCCCTACATTGATGGAAGGCGACGCTGTGCTTGGTTACAAGTCTGGGCCGTCGTGGAGCTGGGCGTCTTTCGAAGGTCGAGCGAGCTGGATGCAGCAACGGCACACCCACTGGCGCCAAAACCAAGACTTTGAGGTATTAGGCGACGACATTCAGCCTGTTTCCGAGGTCGAGCCGTTCGGCGAGGTCAAAGTCGCTGAGCTTCATCTTCGAGGTCTGATCAAGAGCATCCCCATACCTTCGGCAGACGAGAATGGATTCATGCAAAGCGAGATGAGAGACCAGATCGTATCGATTGGGTTCGATTATCCCAACGACGACAGGCTCCAACTAGATTGCGGGCTGACCCTCGAATTGCTGGTGGTCGTTGACTCTGGTGATCTTGGTGTGGAAGGCCTTGTGCTCATGGAGGAAGGGGAGAATCGTTACTCTCGCGTTGGCTTGTTTGAGATGGATAGCATTTGGCCGGTGAAATCTTCACATCGATGGGAGGAGGAACACACTCGCGGGAAGAAATCACTAAAGGAGCACCAAGCACGGTTGAGAAGTGTCTGGGGCGAAGAAAGTATCAGGGAGATCGTCCTCATCTAATTTGAATTTGCATTTATTCACTGATGAAGAATGATGTTCGAAATGATTACTGTTTGAGGAGGTCGCTTTTGCTCTCCCGTAAATAGCGGAGACCAAAAGCGAGGTGATACGGGGACGTCGTCCTGCCACGTTGGCTAAAGCTAGGGTGTTGAAATTGAAAGGTAAAATAGAATTTGAGCATTTTCAGCGTTGAGACCGGCGCATTGGTATGGAAGTAACGTCAGCTTCCCACCGGACATTGACGCCGCCGGCAGGTCCCGCAACATAAGCAACAGACTGGTTCTAGAACACTTGTTCACTTCAAATCCGAACTAGTGGATTCATCTCTTACTGGGCCGGCCAAATGACTGACTTGTCTTCATACCCGGGGGAAATGGATGAACTATAATAAGCTTTCGTGTGAACCATGATAAGCTTTGGTGTGATCTATTATAAGCTTTTGCTAAGCCTTTGTGCGTCTCAGCAAGATGGCGCTCGCCGGAACAGCAAGTATGATCCATTGCACTATGTATGAATGCATAGACAGGCAGGCAGGGAGGGCAGCGTGAACGGATCTGTGTTCGCAGTCTATGGCAGGTATTCGTACGGAGGTTTGCTTTCCAGGCAGTACAAGAAATCCATCCGGGTAGTACCCACCTTTCCGACTAATGTCAAAATCGGCTTAGCTAGGACCCTGGATCTGGGAGTGTTCCAGCTCCTACAGGTCATTTCCATGGAGATAAAAAGATCCATTTTATCTTTCTAGACCAAGTGAACGCCTGCAACTCAACATGAAGAACCAGAAGAGGGCACTGCGCATGGGTCGTGTTGTTGGAATTAAAAGCAGCAGCAGCCTCAATTGAATCATCAGTCGCCCCGGAGGGTTTGAAGGTCCTTTCGGATGAACGGCAACGACTTGATTGGCAGCGATGAACTTTATTGTCTCCAAAAGTTGTTAGTCTGTCTCATCATGTATAGCAGGAGTTCAGTCGAGTACCAGCTTCCACGGCTTCCACGACTTCCACGGCTTCCATTAATTTTCTAATGTCAAGGCCAATCATCAACTCGGGCTTTGCCGACACAGCCTGCGCGACGACGCACAGCTCACCTCAGCCCTGCAAATGAAGCTGTCCAAACCTTGTTTTAATTAATTATCGTTCTCTTCATTTCAAATCCGTGTCAACTAGCTTAGCACAGACCAAAGACGGATGTCGCATCGAGAGACTTTCCCCTCTGGGACTTTCCCCCCCGAGGTAGGATATCGTGAAAGTGTCCGTATGAGAACTTATGGGATGGTGGCCAGTCAAGACCATTGTTCTGACTACTTAAGGAAGCGCCAAGTCCCTCGGGATCAGAGTGGTAGCCATCATCCCTCAGTTCTCCAATCCAAAAACACATTCTTTCTCTCAACCGTCTCCAACCTCCGCCAATCGCTCACAATGAAGCCCACTTCCATCGTTTTCCTCGCGACAGCAACGCTAGTCGCTTCTTCGGCCCTGCCCAAGGATTTGAGTGCGTAGCATGAAGCCGTCTCTTCAGTTGTCTTTTCGCGTCTGCTGACCTTACCGACCCCTCCAGCCGAGAGACAGGCACCGAAGTGCAAGATTTTCCAGATCTTTCAGTCGCCGGATGCCACATCGGGTGGCGCTCCCAAGTTTGTGGGCACGCCGCAGTGCTGTTGCATAAACGAGCAATGCCACGTCGTTGACCGAGTCAACGGCATCAACACCTCGGCGAATCTCAACGCAAATCTGGCGGGAGACTTCAGAATCATTGATGCCCGCAGCGCCGACAAGGGGAAGATTGGGTCTAACGACATCCGTGGTTCTACCTACACAGTCGGAGCACAGGGAGGTTGCACCAAGTAGAATAGGGAACCCCGACGGTCGTGCTGGGTCGATGGCATAGCGGCTAGTTGAAGGATGCGTGTCTCTGGCATATAGACAATAGAATGCTGTTCTATCTTGTTTCAACTGTGGCGAAATAAACTCCCAATACTTCAGGCGGCTCGGCGGAAACCGAGCCTAAAGCCTTTTGATAAAGGACGCTGACTTGCCTCTCATACGCAATACGTCTACTAGGGGTTGGTAGCGGTGAGCAAGTATGCATGCTCATCAAATAAATGAGAAGGTGATGAAGCAGCACGTTACAGCTTTAGCCAATGATGTGACGATGACGGAGGCACGGCTTTTCGAATACTGTCCCAATCTCGCTAGGTACAGCTACACCATCACACTAGTATTATGGTAACGGGCATGTCATAACATGCATCTTTCTCATTATATACATTCAAGTTTCAGTCGAAGGTATCGAAAGGTATAAGAACGCCCTCGAAACCTAGAAAGGAACGACAACCGGCAGAACGTTTGTCGGATATGTTTTGCGTTCCAAACTTAGAGGGAAAGAGCTCAGTCCGCACCCTATCACTTGGGAATGCCTCAAGAACTACGTGTAGCCACATGAACTGTCTCAGAGCCGTTGTCGGCCACTCGTTGAGTTCTCCTGACTGAATAATCATCAGAAAGGATGGCTGGACGCGGCCAAGCGCTAGAAACTGCCTCATCACCCCACACTTTTGATCGCCACGTATCACTACCCCAGAACTAGCCGTGGTGAATGTTGGAACTAGAGCTGAATGACTGGAACGATAGACAAAATTGCTCTGGGTTTTCAGTAATGACTTCTTCCTAGCCTATTAGGTTTTATACTCTTGAAGCCTGTTACCCAAACTCGTTATGAACTTCGACAAGTATCAAACATGTAGACCGGCTATTCTTTGGTCCTCAAGCTTCCTCATTCCCAAGTGTGATCTCTTATAAAAAGGCGGGCGCGAAGAGTTCAAGCCTGACAAGGCAATCCGGTTTTGGTTGCCTTGATCTTTCAGTTCAGTCCGCAATCGAATTTCTCATCAGTTTGGATGGACCCAAACGCATCACAAGCTAGTTATGCAAACTCTCGTTGTGAAGTGGACTATCCATCCAGAGCATTTCCCACCCTCTTCCTTTGTGTATTACTTGCTAGGATAAGCGGGGGATAAGTTCTGCACCTCTATTCTTGCTACACAGCCTATTACTGCCGTTCAGATATGTAACAGGAAGGCATGAAAGAGCAGGCCCACTACGAACAAAAAAGCATCAGTACAGCCATCACAAAGCATCATGATTCATTGCCCGCAGCATGTGAACTTATTGCGCTGCGTGAACTGGAATATCTCTTCCACTTCGCTATTTTATATCTACAACCTGGGACAAAAGGGTACTTAAGCACAGCCTCTCAACAACCCAGGATGTTACTCAACCAAAACGCAAATACGGCGGCTGCGGCTATAGGTGAGCGCGTATCTCCAGTGCTTGACCTCATACTTCGCTCACATCCTTGCGCAGTCCGTAGCTCATCAGCTCAGTCTACACAGAGCATAGATAGCACTGCCTGTTGTCGTCCATCATTGTATTTGCGTATGCGCAGGAATAAATTTTGGAGCATATCTCTGATGGGAGGGCTACCTTAGATGCCTAAGGAGCAGGCGTTACACCACTTGGATTTACCCCCTTGGGAAAAGTTGTATTCAGCTTACTCAATTTACACGACCGGCTAAGCGCAAAAAATTGGTTTGTGGCATTCTTTCTGGCGGCATACTGCCCGAATATATACTGAACCACTTGGCACTTGACCAACTCCAACGACCTGTGGCTTTCACCACACGTCTTGTCCGCTTCACTTAGTTAATGTAACGTAGTGCTTCCAGACTCATCAAACACATGAGATATCATTCAATCGCTATCTTCTTGCTCAACACGGAGCATTCTTTTGTAAATCCCGCTTCAGTACAATACATCAGTACATCGTCTCATCCACCTTTTTCTCGTTTCCCGCTCTTTACAATTTGGAGAACACAGTCGGCACGGCACCGCCCATCTCGACGAGGGTGCTCTTATTCCGTACCCAGGCCTCCAGGCCCTTACGTCCGTTCTCGACACCAACACCGCTCTGCTTCCACCCACCAACAGCCATCTCCGCGGGTGACTCGCCCCACGTGTTGATCCACGTAATGCCAGCCTCCAGCTGCGAAATCACCTTGTGGCACGCGTCGACATCTCTGCCGAACACGCCCGCGGCGAGACCCAGCTCCGTCGTGTTGGCGCGGCGCACCGCCTCATCGACGCTGTCGTACGTCAACACGCACATGACGGGCCCGAAGATCTCCTCCTTGACGATCGTCATCTCGTCGGTGCAGTCAGTGAAGACGGACGGCTGGATCCAGTGGCCGGTCTTGTACGCCGACGGCAGGCCCTTGGGCTGGCTCGTGCCGCCGACCAGCAGCGTCGCCTTGTCCTCCATGACGCCCTTGCGGACGTACGCCTGCACCTTCTCGAGGTGCGTCTTGCTGTTGAGCGGGCCAAAGTTGGTCGCGGGATCGAAGAGGTCGCCCGCGCGGACGTACTGGATCTTCTCGAGCACGACGCGCTCGAAGTCGGCCTTCATGGCCTTGGGGATGAAGACGCGCGTGCCGTTGGTGCAGACCTGGCCGGAGCTGTAGAAGTTGGCGAGCATGGCGCCGTCGACGGCCTGCTCGACGTCCGCGTCCGGGAGGACGATGACGGGGCTCTTGCCGCCGAGCTCCATGGTCACGTACTTCATGCCGCCCGCGGCGGAGCCGGCGACCTTCTTGCCAGTGCTGACCTGGCCGGTGAAGCTGACCTTGGCGATGTCGGGGTGCGTGGTGAGAGCGGCGCCGACGTCGCCCGCGCCGTAGACGACGTTGAAGACGCCGTCAGGGACGCCGGCCTCCCTGTAGATGGAAGCGAGATACTCGGCGTGGAGCGGGGTGAACTCGCTGGGCTTGTAGACCATGCAGTTGCCGGCGGCCAGGCATGGCGCCGACTTCCAGAGGGCGATCTGGATAGGGTAGTTCCAGGCGCCGATGCCTGCGCAGACGCCGAGGGGCTCCTTGGTGGTGTAGACCCAGGCGGAGTTCCTCAGGCGGAAGGACTCGCCGTTGAGGCCGCCGCTGGCGACGAGGT